CACTCTGATAATTGAACTGTAGTTTTCAGAGATCAGTTGGGTGTTCAACAATTCAATTTTAATGATACCCAGAGTTGGTAGACCCTGAGAGGTTAAGTGCTCAGGACCACAAAACTCTTTGCACTTAAGTGGCACTGAGTTTGATCCTCAGTACCACTGACTAAATAATAAATTTGGGGTTCCCATAATCCCCAATTTTGGTGATGTCCCAGAATAACTCAAAAAAGCACAATACTTAACAATTGCAGTTTCATTAAAGAGGATATCATTCAAGAATAATCAAACTGAAAAGATGCGTAAGATGAACATAGAGTAGGTCAGAGCTCTCCTATATTCTTTTCTGGTTCACTACCCTCCAGCATGTTTTGTTGTTGTCATTTTGAGTCAGGGTCTCATTAGTTCAGGCTGTCCTTGAACTCATGGCAGTCCTGCCTCTGCCTCTCAAGTGCCTCTCAGACGTGCACCACCTCGCCTGGCCCTACCAGCATGCTGACAACTGGCTTGTAAGCTCTCTTAATGGAAGTTTCCTAATGTAGGCTGATTGAGTCTTATTTTAGTAACTGAACTCAATTTCTAGTCCCTCTGCTCTCCCCCAGAGGTCTTAGAATGGGCCTGATCATTGTAAGAATCTTGATTGGTTCTTGTGGTGATACAGTCCTGTGTTGAAGCTCTCTAGGGACCTCCTGTAAGTAAGTTAAGCCAAAAGGAGCTTGTTAGGAATAACAAAAGACATTACTATCAGGAAATTCCAAAGATTTTGGTAGCTTTGCTAGGAATCAGTGACAAAGACCAAATATGTTTTTTATTATACCACAGTATCACTCATGCAAAGGAAAATTAAACCCTAGCATCAGTACATTTCAAAAGCAGAAATCTTGGATAGATACAGAAGGTTCTCTTTTTTTCTTTCTTTCTTTTTATTTTTTTGAGTTTATTCAGCTGCTACCTTTATACACTATTGAACGTAAGAATATTTTCTTGAAAAATTGCTTCTGCTCCCACTGTCCTCAAATAGGAATCAGATTTCAGGATTAGAATGGTGCTAGACTCCATTTTATACGGTGAATAAGTCAACAAGCTTAGTAGAACTGAGTAAGACCTACATGTAAAAATCTTCAACATTTAAGTGGATTTTAGTTGACATCTCCAGTTTAATATGGGCTGCTTATTTTAAGCAAATGGTTATTAAATGTGCTCACATGAAAATAGTTTTATAACTGATACCCAAACTGATAAGTGAATGCTTGGACAGTTTAGCCTGACTTTGTTGGAAAAAATTAATAGCTTTGACATTTTAAACACTAACCTTTCCATTAATTGCATCTGAAGAGGAAGATGCCTGGAGCTCTTAATATTTGTCATAAAGGAATCAAATGAGAAAGAAACTAAGACCCTCACCACCACCACCAATTAAAGACCCTTTATAGTTAGATCCCTGGAAATGTATTGTTTTAGAACTGTAAATGCAGAACCATATAGTCTGAACTTAACAGAGTATCTTCAGGCCTATAGTTTAGGACTGTGTCTTATATTAGTCTATGTCCTATATTTTATTTCATCATTGCTTTCTGACATGTTAAGTAGGAAGGCAGCATATGTAAATTTGATCTTTTTAATCCTTGCCTTTCCTACAACCTAATGCGACTTAATTACTCACCCTACCTTGATATTTCTACAAAAATGTAGACCTGGAAAAAAATTTCATTCTAACACAATGGCTGTCATTCATGAATCACCTTTGTACTGCTCACTTACCTCAGTTATCTCAAGAAGTTAGTATATTAGCTTTCATAAATGGAGGAAAATGAAGGATGGAGACAAGAAACAACTGATGATGATTGAGCCAGTATTTGAACCCAGACTATATAGTCTGATCACTAAAATATGATTGCCTCTCCATGCGATCTCTTTGTAGTTGACATTGGATTGTGCAACGCATGAAATAGACACCAATTTTCTATTTGAAATCTATACCAGCCCTTGATGGGATTGGGAGTGGAAGAAATAAGGTGCAAAACGCTGGCAAGATCTACCACAAATCACCTTTTAAAATCTCCTTGACCTGAGGCTGCAGCACATGGTGTCACTCTGAGAGTTGTCTTTTGCAGGCTTCCCCTCCCATTTGCCTGGCATTTTAAAGAAAAGCTGCACCTAATGGTTACACTTTTTAAAAAAAATTTGGTGAGTGCTTAAATTTATTACAGTAAAAAATACTGCCATTAATTCCACTCAAAATACTTTTCCCTCCCTTCAAACATACCCTTCATTCTTGGCAATGTGTCTTTACTGTAATAAGCATTTTTAAAATTTAAATATATTTTACAGTCTTTAGATTTCAGAACCCAGAACATCTGACTTCAAATTAGAGAGTATATGAGATGGTGTTTAACTTTACAAAAGTAATGTTTGCCTAAAGAATAATAGGAAAAGTGTTCAAAGAAAAAGATAACACGCCTCATACTCCAGTACAGGTCTTTGGGCCTCTTGTTCACTATACCTTCTTTCCTTCCCTAAGCCCTTTGTGTACCTGAGTTCTCCAAGTTTTCTTTTTCTCTTTCTCTTTCTCTTTCTCTTTCTCTTTCTCTTTCTCTTTCTCTTTCTCTTTCTCTTTCTCTTTCTCTTTCTCTTTCTCTTTCTCTTTCTC